ATATCCAGCAGACAGTCTGAGAAAGAGAGGATCCTGTATAAAAGGTCTGGAAGTGGCTCACATCACTTCTACTCACCCTCCATCACCTAGGACACTATCAGTGGTACCACCTAAACTGCAAGGAAGACTGGGAAACATAGTCTACCTTTTTGACCCCAGGAAGATGAGGAATTGGGTATTACAAACAGCTAGCAGTCTACCATACTTGATGAGTGTAAAGAGTAGGAGACACGTGAATGATGAGAAAGAGTTAGAAATGGAAGGAAGGCGGTATCTGAGGAGAAGGATGAGAATCAAGATAATACACTGAGTTAAAGATAAGAGAAAATGTCCGAAAGTAGACAGTGGTCAGTATTATGAAACACTTCAGAGAAGTCAGAGAGACTAAGCACTTGGAAAGATTTCTAGATTTTTGTAGAAGAAACCTGTAACTGATTGTCAAGAGAAATACATGGAAAGATGGGAGAAAAATCAGGAGATTAAGGGAAAAGGTAGCATTTGTCCATGTAAATAAGGGAATATTGGGCCATCATGGTTATAACTTATTCAAATATAGTGAACCAGATTTACCAAGTATCTTTATTTTATATATTAGCTGGAAATTGAACTAAGAAGTTTTAAATTTTTAGAGTGAATATTGAAATTTTCTACAGGGCAGAAAAGATTTTTTGTATTTTATACATGAATTACTTTGGTTGTGATTATTTTTTATTAGCCAGTTTCTAATAGAGTTTTCCCAATTATTATTTTTATTTTTATTAGTCTTACAAATACACATCACTGGTATAACTAGGAATTGCATTTGATATCCAGGCAGATACTGAACATCAGTATCTAAAAACAAGTCTAGAATTTTTGGTATATTGAACATATTTAACAGAAGTGAAAATCTTTAAAATATATGTCATCAAGCTCAATTTTGTGATTCATTGGAACAGAGTTCAACAAATTCCAGCTTGTGGGCCACATTTGTCCATCGGCCTTTAATTTTTACAGTCAGTCAGCCAAGAATGGTTTTTACATTTTTAAATGGGTACATTTAAAATTCAAAATAAGTACAGTCACAGCATCCTTGGTTTTTCCTCTTGATTCACAAAGCCTAAATATTGACTGTCTGGCCCTTCATGAAAAAGAGTGCCAAGCCTTGATTTAGAAGCTTACTTTTATGATTTATAATAACTGGTAATAAGTATATTATGCTTTCATCCATTCTGTATTTTGAAATTTTTTTATTTTGGTGACATTTTTATTGGATCATGGCCCAACATCAGAGAATATGGAGGACATGAAATTATCATTCACTTCTTTTTTCTATAAAAAAGTGAAAATATTTCTCTTTGAATCTGCAGAAACTTTCTTAGGAGATTTTATTTCATTTTTTTAATTGAGCTATAATTGAGATATAATATTATGTAAGTTTAAGGTGTACAATGTATTGATTTGATACATTAATATATTGTAAAATCATTACCACCATAGTATTATCTAATACCTCTATCATCTAACATAATTACATTTTCCTTTTTTTGTGGTGAGAATATTTACAATCTCTCTTAGCAACTTTCAAGTATATAATACAATATTGTTACCGAAAATCACCCTATACATTAGATTCCTTAAACTTATTCATCTTATGGCTAATAGTTTGTACCCTTGGACCAACATCTCCCCATTTCCCCCACCCTCCAACCTCTGATAGCCAATCTAACCTGTTTCTATGAGTTTGCCTGTTTTAGATTCCACATGTAAGTGATCCCATACAACATTCATCTTTCTCTGACTTACTTCACTAAGCATAATGCCCTTAAGGTCCTTCCACTGTTGTTGCAAATGGCAGAATCTCCTTCCCTCTTGTGACTGAATAATATTCCATTGTATATATGTGCTACGTTTTCTTCATCCGTTCAATCATTGGTGGTAACTAAGATTGTTTCCATATCTTGGCTATTGTGACTAACACTGCAATGAACATGGGAGTGCAGAAGTCTCTTTGAGATCCTGATTTCATTTCCTTTGGTTATAGACCCAAGTGTGGGATTGCTGGATCATATATTGTAGTTCTATTTTTAATTTTTTGAGGAAGCTCCATACTGTTTTCCATAGTGGCTGCACAAATTTACATACCCACCAACAGTGCACAAAGACTCTCTTTTCTCTATATCCTCACCAATACTTTTTATCTCTTGTCTTCTTGATGATAGCCATTCTCACACATGTGAAGTGATATCTCATTGTTGCTTTGATTTCTATTTTTCTAATTAGTTATGTGGAGCATCTTTTCATTTTAAACATTTGTATGTCTTCTTAGGGAAAAAAATGCCCATTCATTTCTTTTGTCCATTTTTAAATTGGATTGTTCTGTTTTTTGCTTTTGAGTTGTATAAGTACTGTATATTTTTTATGTTAAACCCTTATTAGATTTATGATTTACAAATATTTTCTTAAATTCTTAGATTGTCATTTTATTTTATTGTTTCTCTTGCTGTGCAGAAGCTTTACTTTGATGTAGTGCAATTTATTACTTTTGCTTTGTTGCTTGTGTTTTTGATGTCATATCCAAAAAATTATCACCAAGACCAATGTCTAGCTTTTCCCCTATGTTTTCTTCTAGGAGTTTCATGGTTTCAGGTCTTACATTTAAGTCTTTAATAGATTTTGAGTTAAATGTTGTGGGTGGTAGGGGTTCAATTTCATTCTGCATGTGGTTATCCAGTTTCCCTAACACCATTTATAGAAGAGAATGCCTTTTTCCCATTAATTATTCATGACCCCCTTGTCAGATATTAGTTGACTGTTTATGCAAGGGTTTATTTCTTGACTCTTGAGCTGTTGTTCCTTTATCTATGTGTTTATAAAACCATAGTGTTTTGATTACTATAGCTTTGTAGTATAGAGTGAAGTCAGAAAATGTGCTGTCTCCAGGTTTGTTCTTTCTCAGGATTGCTCTAGCTATTTGGGGTCTTTGGTAGTTCTGTACAAATTTTAGGATTGTTTTTTCTATATCTGTGAAAAATATCATTGGAATTTTTATAGAGATGCATTGAATCTATAGACAGCATTGGGTCATATGGACATTTTAACAATCTTACTTCTTGTAGGAGGTTTTTCTAAAGCCATCTGATTGAATTTCAATAATATACTCATTTTAAAGTAGTTGCTCCTATGATTAGAGAATTATGAAGTATTTTATTTTTGAGATATTTTGTTTTATTAGATTATTTGTTGATCAACTCAACTCATTAACAAAAATCAAACTTTGAGTTGTCACCCCTTTTTGAAATGTGGATTGCGTGATTATGTCACCAGTGGAGACACTGGTGACATTAAAATTGTTACTTTTTCTTTTGTTATGCACTCAATTATGTGATATATCTCAGAGGGTTTCATAATTATTTTATTTCCGATCAAAGAGTATAAAAGAAATATTCCATTGGTCAGGTGTATTTTCTTTCCTATCTTTATATATTCTAGGACAACCTCACATTAAAATAATAAGATGCAGTATTTGATTGGGGTAAGATGGAGTATCATGTGAAATAATGGATTGCAATAAACAAATGATTGAGCAGTCAAATAGCTTTTATTGTAATATAAAGAGAAATATCTCGTGGACATTGTCCATGTTATTTTGTTCTCTT